AATGCATATTTCCACTGAGATCAGTGACGTTTGATGTGTATCACCAGTGATCAGTCAAATAGAAACAGTCAAAATATTTTATCAGTTTTTCTCAATTTTTGCATGATATTTTCATGCAGGACATCTGTTGTTCAAACTCAGGGAAGACTTTATACTGATGAACAAGGTGACCAAGTTTGATGAAGTTTGGAATAGAATTAGTAAAGTTATCATGCACACAATAACAATTATTAACGACGACGACAACGACGACGACGACGACGACAACGCCGGACAAAATTTTTCCCTTAATATACCTTTCCCTTCCATCTTTGATGGTACAGGCAAGGTAATAAAAGCATCATGATATCATACTAAGTAAACAGACACACATACTGCATGTATGTATCAAGCCTATATAATGACAGTCTGATATGCTAACACTTTTAAATCATAAACTATACCCATATATGATTAGCATTTAATGTTTAAAATGACATTGTCTTCTTTCCATAAATTTTTTCATAGTTGTCAAGCGTCTGTTTTACGTTCTTTTACGACTTTTGTTTACCGATCAATGGTTGGAGAATGTTATTTCCACATAACTAGTACTGAAAAACAAGCGAAATTTATATATCTATGGAATGAAATTAGGAAGTGGCATTACCTGGTCTATGATCTGAGTATCGCTTGAGAAACGATTGAGAATTCGACCAATCGGAGTTGTGTCGAAGAATCTCATTGGTGCGTGGATTATGTTTCGTAACAAGGAGTGGTGTATCCGTTTGGCTGCCAATATAGTAAACACCGTACTCGTGATACAAACAAGTAGTAACGTCGCGGCAGATATAAACGTGAAAAGAGTGTACACACCCAGATAGTAGACATTGTCATCTTTGATATCAGTCTGCGGGTAAATAACAAATACCAGTGAAAAATACACGTGTTAACACACAATATCAACTGATATCCGTAGGCGTCGTATCACGTCTTGTTCGATGTGTGTGGGTTTTATGCCATGTAGACAGCGGAGATTGAGGGTGTGCCAAAATCTATAGTAGATATGTTTTCTATTGTCGCACACACAACATCTCGAACCAGTGTATTTCCCAGTCAAATTTTCACGTATAAAACCCCTCAATCCCAGCACGATCTCGGCACTACGTTCACAAGTAATACTCCATCAAGCCCTATCATTAACCCAATCCCTATTTCCACAGGTAACACCTATAAGGCACCAGCTTGACCCCAAACCTTATTTCCACAGGTAACAGATATGTAATACACACGTTTGACATTCCAGATATTTTTGAATGCAAATTACTCACCTCGGTTTTATTTGCTACATCATATCCCGCTTCTGACCATTCCGATAACCAGAAATTGGTGATCGCCATAATAACGATAGAAATGGCATTCAAAGCAATAGCCAGAAGGGCATAGGGAATTTTTACCGCTTTAGAGTACACCATGTATATGGCAAGTGAAATTGATCCTCGTTCTCGTTCTTCTTCTTCTATCAGTTTTCCATCTGATGGGAAATGTTACGTTTGTAATCTTGAAGGTTACATTTGAAATAAAAGCTGTGACCGGGACAAATTTGTTTATTTACACAAAACGCGAACTTGGCGCCTCTTTAACATGACTATCAACAATGCAGTGACAATGGTTCAAAATATCATGATTTTTACCTTCTTCTAGTTTCTCGTCTTCAATCACAGATATCTGTTTTTTCAGTTCTTCTCGTTCTTGAACAGTTGTATCGTCTTCCGTTTCCGATTCGGACTCGCTCAGCAGCTGCACCGTCTCCCGCCATTGTTTATACAGTTCGGGATCCTCTTTGGCTATCTTGTCTATTTCACCTTGTCTGTGTATCTTACCATTGTCCATTACAACAATCTATAGTGCAAATGATATGATATGATAATGTATTACAACGTTAATGACCAATTACACGCATGTACACATAGAAGATATACGAATCAGATCGCTCGAAGCAATATAATCAGAAAGACGGGAAGACAGGGAGAAACGTGACAGTTACAAAAATAAGATAAAAAACGTTTCCGATCTTATACCCATCGATAGAAAATTTATTTTATACTGTTGTATATAGCAGTATTTTTTTTTTTGGGGGGGGAATATACTATGAGCATGGCTCTCAATTTATATTAAATTTGATATTCCATTAGAACGTGACAGTCATCAGTTGTGTTGTCAGGTGGTTCTGTTTATCTGTCTGACGCCCTCTACATTGAACTATAAACGAATTTGGTACATATTTCTATTCAAATTGCTCTCGGATAGCATGGGGTATTCATCAGTAAACACATTACAAGTATCGACTAGTGCAAAATACAAAACGCAAAACTACTGGATCACAACTAGGGTACATAGCCATAGTTAAAAACTGACTACAGACCTTGTCAGCATATTGCAGATACTGAAGTTGGTGAGTTACTAGTATCACTGTTCGTTTATTATCAATCAGCAAATCGATTATTCCTTCCATAAAAAGCTGACGACCAACGTGCACATCCAAAGCCGATAACGGGTCATCCTGTAAAAAGGGAAGAATCAAAGTTAAGTTTGAAGTACCAGTGTTATTGAGCACACTATAAACTTTACTATGTGAACTGACTAAAATGATTTGGATTTTAAATAGTAGTACACTTTTGTATACTAACCAGTATAACTATATCTGTATTGCTATATATAGCTCTGGCAACGCTGACTCGCTGTTTCTGTCCTCCGCTGAGGTTGATACCCTTCTCGCCAATCTCTGTCAGATCACCAGCTGGTAGAATGTCAATGTCAGGATGCAAAGCACAGGCACTCAAAACAGACTGGTATCTGAAGAATGGAAACAATTGAATACACATTTACTAGAGCAATATGACACACTCTATTATATTTGTGTTCGGTAATCTGCGTTCCAGAAATGCAAAGCTCTTGCGCAGTAGAATATACGGTATTGTATTGTATTACGAACCTCAGTGTGAAAAGCATTATCCCCATGTGACTATATTTTGGCCAATCACAGCATAGATACAAAGCGGCGTGGTACACAAACGATTGACTTACTTATCATTGTTGTACTGCTCTCCAAACAGTATATTGTCCCGCAAAGTGGCGTTCTGTAACCAGGCTTTCTGGGAGCAATATGAGATGTTACCATGGTTCCTGAGCGACAAATAAAGTGGTACCTAAGTATTAGTCTTTTTTCAAATTCTAATCCAGCTGCGACACTGAATCTACGTGTACTATGTGCAGTTCAATTATATACGATAATGATATTGTGCAAAGTTGAGAAATAAAGTAACATATTTATGAGGGATATATTTATTTTTAAACATGTCGGCACTAACCATTTTTTTTTAAAGTTACACGTGACTTTACGAGTTGCACCACAAGTATGTATGTTTCCCTCGTTCCGTCATGGTGTGTGTAAATCAAAGTGAAACACAGCTCATTGGCGGTTCACCGCGTGGGAGGGGGTGTAATAGTATGGCCGTGGTGAATTGTTATAAACATGTAATAGTACCCATTAAACTGTACTGTGCCGGAGATGGTTGTCATTTCTCCCAGCATCGCAGATAAAATGGAGGATTTTCCTGTCCCGACAGTTCCAACTATCATTGTTAGTTTTCCTAAAAAAAGATTGAAACAATGATTACGCTAAATGACGCCATGTAAATGAAAGCCCCCACAATAACCTATAATATTGTGCATGTTATATAGCTGCAATAGGCTGGTCTACAGTAATCATGAATATATACAAACATCACCCGTGTACGTGTCTATAAATATGTGATATGTTACTATAAACTCTGCCTCAGAAGCGGGGGGGGGGTTATTTATACTTGCCTTTATGTATATCAAGATCTATATCACTCAATATCGCACTGTCATCTTCGGGGTCCCACGCAAAGTAACCACCTTTCACCTTGTACAAAATAGGGAATTTGTTTAGAGTTTAATGAAACATTCGTAATATGTTCACAATATTTCTTAAGATAAATATATTCTGTGTACCTGTATTGCTAGGTGGTCATCTAATGGTATTGAATGGACAGCAGTGTCGTGACCCGGGAATATCGTCTTGTTCATGGTACCATACAACGTTGGTTTCTCCTGTCTCAACAGTTTTGTTTTATCTGTGGACTCTTCTTTTTTCATGCTTGTCTCCTCGACTGCAGACTGTTTAATATTCTCGCGGAAATATTTTTTCTAAAATGAATCACAATTAAAGAAATGAATGTGGGTGACAAACTCCTACAAGAGGCTACCAATTTTCTCCTGGCGACTATCGTTTTAGGTTTGGGAATTTAATCACATGGTTAAATGCTGAGACGTATAGCCGACATATTAAATAAATATGATAATGACACCAGTTTCCCCGGCATACCTTGTAAGCACCACCATTTCGTCCTTGGTTTATATACCACTCCTCGTCACTATCGTTATCATCATCATTAACCAACTCTTGTTGTCTTCCGTCGTCTTTCTCCTCAATCTCGGCCGCAGCAAAGAATATTTCAAGCCTGTTTGTACTGACAAGACCATTGACGAAGTACCCAAGTGCTATGGGTACCATGAAGAATGGTATAATGAGTGACTGGAACAGTGCCAGCGATGCAAACGCGATGTCCGGTGTCAATGGTGTATCACTCAACCAAGGGTAGTATGCAGCATACGACTATAAAATGACAACATGGATTAACTCATAGCATTGAGACAGGACGGTATTACCTGAATACGAGTACTGATAGCAAAATACGCCACGCTGTACTGCGTTGCATTATGTCACGTTACGCTACACTGTGTTACTCACCACCAATGTCACCAATAAAGGAGCAACGTCTGTCAAACACCCTGGGTAAGAATATAAAGACACAATCAGACATGACACCCTGGGTAAGAATATAAAGACACAATCAGACATGACACCCTGGGTAAGAATGTAAAGACACAATCAGACTTGACACCCTGGGTAAGAATATAAAGACACGAATCAGACATGACACCTGACAGAAATGAGACGGAAACAGTTTGGACTTAATATTTTTATGGCAACAATGATTTTATATTTTCCTCTATAATTTCAAAGTGTATGCCCCACGACGGCGACCATGTTGTAAATAACAGTTTGGACTTCGAAGAGGCTATAGTTGTAGATCAAAGATTGTGATAACAATATATATGTTGAACTATCATTTCAAAATGGAAGAACCCGAACTTCGCTTTCGTATTAATTATATTTATTCGCTTATTGTCGGTTGTGGTTATAGACTAACTTCTTTTGAACCCATTGAGGTAGCACAAATGGCAATAGCCAGACTAAGACTTACATGTCATGGCCATGTACATCCCTTCTTTCATCACTTGAACGATTTCGTTTTTCCTCACAACTTCGATAGCAGAACAGAACAATTCCTCCCAACCATACAGTTTCAGCAACTTAATTCCGTGTAATAATTCATTTGATTTCTTCAAACGGTCATCAGTGTATATCTATTTTATAAATACGTAAGTTTTACATTCACAAAATACTTGTTTATGTTTATGCAATCGTTAACTACAACTATTCAGTCGCGCGGTGAATTACAATCATCACATATTTACAGACTGATGATACTTCAAGTTTCAGTTTTTAAGACGCTCCGTGGAGGTTAATTTTTTTCTGTGTTCAATTGGAGACTTTTTAATACAAATCAGAGTTCAAGTGTCATTTTCTTTATTAATGTCAAATTATATATATATATATATATATATATATATATATACATGTATCCGTCTTTGTTTTGTCCCTCTATAGTTGAGCACAGTTTCTTTATTTCTTTTTTGTTTTTACAAAATTAAAGTCGTTGTCACTGATTGTTCTGTTCGGTATTCAAATTTGATATTTTTGTTATGTGGTCTCGGTACTGATCTGTGCCACTGTGTGCAAACAAATGTGGTTTCATTGTTCCTGGATTTGAATATGCGAATTGATTTCTAATCCTTATTCATTAATGTATAGCCAAAGTTGTTCCACGTCGTGCCTGAAGAAAGACACCGTAATAACAGACATTCTTAGGTCGGCTACATGTATGTTTTTGAAGTTTGTTATTTTTAAATATGTAGAATGTGTCAGGGGTACATATACATTTACATGTTCTAAGCAATGAAGTATTGCACTACTTACCAGGACATTTTCATGTATCCTGGTCATAATAGTACCAATTTTCAACTGGATTGGTGATATCAATATTAATGTCAACGCGCCCAGCAGAGCTGCTACACCCAGTACAAAGTACAATAATACCAATATGACGATGATCTGAAAATAAAAGCAGATGAATTTAGCCAAAAAGGGGACAAGTACATGCAAGTGATTGAGTACATCGTTTTCATTGTTAAAACTAGCGAGATAGATACATTTGAAAATGACTCTTATACATTTCAGCGTCACACTCCTTGCTGCAATGTAGGTGTATATCTCTAATGACAAGTTTAAAAGATCATCAGCATATCACAGCGCGGGCATGATAATGAAAGCCCCTGAGGTGAATTTCAAAACAAGTGGTTGTAAATAATAATATCAACCTCCTCAGAAAACAACCTGTTGTTTCTACCAACTTAAATCCGATCACAATACAATATACAGCCTTTTGGTATATTTAAAATTGAGTCTTACCTGAATTATACTGGTCCAAAGGAAATGTATGAATTGAAACATTCCGAGAACATTAATAGCATCAGTGGACATGTGATTGGTGATTTGACCCACAGTCATGTCGCCACCAGTCATCGTCCAGCTCGACAAACGTAGCGACTTTTCATATACAAATGCCTGAGGAAATTCAGTTATCCAATATTATAGTAATGTAGTAATACAGTGTAAGTTATAGGAATTTAATTAATGTAGGAATAAAGTGTTGTATTAAAGTAAAAAAAAGTACAGCAATGTACTAGTAATATAGTAATGTAGAAACTGTAGTATTATATTATATTATGTTACTGGTGTAGTAATAAAGTATATACGATAATATAGTGTTGAAGTAATAAATTAATGCAGCAATGCAGTCATACTGTAGTTTAGTAACACGGCAATAGAGTAATGCGGCGCTGCAGTGCCGCAGTGCAGTAAGGCCAAACAAAACTTATGTTGCCCTCAAGTCGTAAAATTGAGAAATTAGGTCGGTCGGTCGGATTTTTTTTTTAAACTCGTGAAAACTAATGGTATCGTAAATAGCCGAGGTATATGGACTTCATAGTATTCGGAACATGTCAGGGAAATACAGATCAACCCGAAGTTCATTGTCGCCACTTATCCCCCGGGAACCCAGGGATAAAACAACAGTCCGGGATCGTTAATTTTCAGAGGAAACACTTTTTTACTGCTTAAAATGGTGAGTTTTTAATATTTGGGCCTATTTTTTTTTGGGGCTAATAAAGTGATACAGTGATATAATACAGCAGTATATTGATTATACGTATTACCTGTATTGCAGTTCTCACATGCATACTTTCTATAGTACATATATAAAAGTGCGTCTGGTAGTATATTGAGTAGTACACCGTACTCAGGAACATCACAGCAACTAACACAAATCCATTGCTGAAAAATTCACTGATCGTCACGTACGGTGTTTCCTAATGATGAAAGTAAAAATTCGAATGTGTTAACATCTTTTCTCCAGCGCATTGCAGAAATTTTACCGAAGTCATAGAGGTCATATCCAATTAATATGTATGTGATGAACAACGATCACCTGAAGTAAGAGTTACAAAAACAAACCAACGACCATGGTAATGGGTCACATTAGCAAAAGTAGCATAAAAAACAAAACAAATTATAAAGTTTGAAATGAAACATTGGATTGGTTTATAACATAATTACACGTGTTATTAGATAGACATACTACTTGATGAGCGCCATCTTCGCCAGACTCGTAATTTGCAGCGTACGTCACAATTCCACCAATGGCGACCGGACCAACAAGTATAAACAAATCACCGAGTAACTTCAGAATTCCCGATATAATCATTGGTCTGCCATATGCTCCAAAATATGCTCTCCACATAGAGGGCGTGGTATTATGTATAGCAGCCCTTGTCTGTAAAGTAAACACGTGGTTATAATGAAGGTATTACTTCCGTCATTGGGGAGGGGGAGGGGGAGGTTAAATTTTTGTTGGTCTGTCTGTTAGCGGGATAACTGAAAAAGGACGAACAAACTAAAATTTGGTATAGATTTAAGTACGGTTACCATGGAAGCGGTAATTTCGGAAATGGTTGTTATCATTTATAACCAAAAGGTTATTGATGAATTCTCATGCAATTTTCAGGAGTGCCCATGATGCGGACCAATCGGTTAGATTTTGGTAAAGTGCCTTTGGGGATCTATATACTATAATTAAATATAAACGTATCATTCAGTGAACTTATGTTTGAATTTGCCCATGTTCTCTTCAATGGGGCCATACTATTTTTATCTCCAAATTCTGGGTGCAATATTTTGTCTATTTATAAATTTCTGCTTGACCACACGTCTTAAGTAAATTTTCAGAACATATTTATTTTGTGCAGGGTGACAAAAGTTGCGTCTCAGAAATACTTCCTCACTAGAGGGCGCTGTTAATATGAACGTTGATTTAGGGTGACTCACCTCTTCAACTTCGTAGGCTCTTTTAAATAACTCGTACTGATATCTAGTACGATGCTCGTCTGGAAGGCATCCTAAATGGCTTTTCTCTATCGGGTGTTTATATCCCTGTCTCAGTAACCAGGATATCCACCAGTACAAATACCGTGAGAAGAGATTAACATAGCGATGGTGGTAAAGCATTGATTTCTTTCTCAGGTCTCGGGGGATATCTGGCGGTTTACGTCCGGCACAACATGGCTAGTAATAAATGTTAAAGGAAAAGATTTTTAAAGTTTCAACTTTCAGAATTTTAATTTCGGAATTTATCTTTGCATTTTCATTGAAATGCTGTAGTCGGTATTACATCTATGTCAATCACGTAATTTTGGACGCAACTCATTTCACCATTACAGTGGATACGATCAACATTTCAATAGACCATTTTCCGTTCACTGCGAGAATCACGCGTTATGCGTGAAATCGAACGTAAAAACAGGACAAACAAAGGTCATAGCGTCGTAGTCGCGTCAAACATCGCGTGGCATTCGACAAACGCGAAGTACTTTGGGGGACACTTCCATGCTTAATAATGTGCTGTACACATTTGATGATAGGCAATTTCGATTAAGTAAGGGTATTCGGAAGCAATATTCCTCTGTCGAAGATCGGCCGGTCAATGTAAGCTACGAAATAAAGAAATTCTAGTTCAAAATCAAATCGTTCAATTTTTGGGGCAGACGTTCGATGCGCGTCTTTCATACATCTCGCGAGATCTCGCAATTGTACGGAAAATCACCTATTATACATTGACGTTCGTGAAACCCACTTTTGACACCCACTCCATGCAGAGGAGCAACAAGGCGACCTCAGTCGAAATCAGCTGATCCACCTGGCGCTAAGAATGCTGCGTCTTGCATTCACACGATTGTCAAGGGTTTGCATTGTTGTAATGGTGCGTTCAATTAATATATGAAACATGTATTCTAGTATACAACGCACAAGGTTAAATTCTCGTAAATTATTAAGCGATGTAAGATATATAATCATGACCTTCAGATTGCAATCACGTGACCTAGTGTGCAGTTTTCGTACATACAATGTAAACTAGAACAGTGACGTCTGCTGTTTTTGTTCTCGTTTCAAGTGTACCGATTTAGAGATCAATGTGCAGCTACTTTACCGTAGGTCTTTCTGTCTTATCCCATGACCCCAAACTCCACACAGCTAATACCCCTCCTTAGGGTGCAAGTTTTTAAATTGTCAAGTGCTAAGCACGTCGACCTCGGCGATTTGCAGTGAGTTGTGCAACTTTGTGAACCTTGGAACTGCGTAAATAATAAAAGTGAAATTCGACATATTTACAGCAGCATTGTAAATATGACCCTACGACGAACTTACCTGGCTTAAAATAAAACAGATTTCGATGATTGCATAGCACCCGTAGAGCAGAATACTTGCACTGATCGTGTACCATCTGAGATGGTCGCTTGACAATTGCTGCTCAATAGCACTGTAGAGTTTTAAAGACTCGCCGATAACTGCCGATATCCAGAATATCAGGAGCAGCAAGGCGAGTCGAGGTAGATCCCAGCATTCGAGGTGGTGATAGTAAACTAAACATATGATACCATTGACACATGCCAGCGCTTGGGGCACGTACAAGTGGGGTTCCGTCGCCGTGTTCCGCGTCAAATCTGTTAGGATTCCTTCACCCAGGCTGCAGAGAAAAACAAATGAAAAAACAACTGCCAGAATGTACCGTACATCGTGGTATGGGAGTGTTATCAGGGTCTTTGACCGGCAGCGACGTAACCGCGTACTGCAAGTACAGACGAGCAATATCAACGCAGCCAGGATCAGAAATCCTAAATGTATACTGGCGTTGATAAGGTCCACGGTACAAGTGTTCTGATGATTCCAACCGGCATCGTTTTCAGCAGACTGCTTTCCACAGAACCACTGCGCCCACTCGCCACTGGCATCCCCCTCGTCGTCCATGTTCAATGTGTAGCCCGTATCTAATAAATGGAATGTCCTTTCGGCAATAGTATGTTGTTGCACTGCTGATTATAAACGGGTAAGCAAGTAGTTCCGGAGTCACGGGTTATAAACACTCGACAATATAGTAGCATATAAGCGTCGAGTGTCCACGATTGCACACTTTTTAATGTCCTACTTCCTAACTATAGAAATCAATAATATGGATTAAATATCATTCGTCAAAGAACGAATTGTCGAAATAAATTATGTAATAAAAGGGTATACACAAAAAAATGAATATACCCACGTACCATAGCGTGTGCCGACTTTATTTAATCTCACACTACGCTCAACTGCGTTACAATCCAAGATGAGACAATAGCGGCAATCCCCTCGGAATAATACTACGGTCAATGACGGCAAATTTTTCTATGTAGTTTAGATTATTGGAGATACACGGTCAATATCAAGCTGACCCCCACTTGAACCCATTGTAGTAAGTGCCCGTATAGTGGATCGTTAAAAGTTCAGGCAGTGTCCGAAATGGACAGGTAGTAAAGTTCCAATCTGTGTTATGACGTGGCAGTATGGCCGCCGTTTTTGCTGGCCGCGGCCTTCAATGTTTGTGTAGATTTGTCTCGTGGTGGTCTATAGTGAGAGCGCCATATATACTTTGGTGTTGGGATAACTTTGTTTATCAATAAGTCTGTGCGTTCTTGTGACGGTCAGTATGGCGGTTAGTGTGTAATGTTGAAATTATTTCCTGTCTGTGTGGGCAGGTCGATTCTCCTGTTAAATCGACTGAATACTTTCCAAAGACTGAGCTAAATTGGTTATGGATGTAATCTGTTTGCACAGAATTTAGTGACTGGCAGAAGTCTTTTTCGAAAGTTGTGTTTTTTGTGTGGATCGACCGCAGAGATTACAGTCTGCTGTTCCCATTGTGTTGAACCAAGAATCCCGGTTCTTGTGAGTACTCCCGACTCGGAGGTTTTTGAGTTCTGCACACCAGTATTAATTGTTTTCAGTAGAACGACTGGATTAATTATCATGCTGTCCTGTCAAGATTTCAACTAAACTAAACAGACTGCTCTTCTCTGTGGACATGTACCGCCATTCGTGTCACGTGACTTTCTCTGTTTTACATCCAGTCGGGTCATTCCAGTTTTTGTCCACCCCCTACAGATGGTTTAAATCCGAGGGGTCATATTTCTACAAAAAGTATGAATGGTTTAATTCCGAGAGGTGTCATATTTTTAATACATTTTTTCACATACCCATCCGTATACGTCAAATCAGTAAATTGTCCTGGGTGTGTGTTAGTTAACAAAAATCCGACACCTGAATGGTGGATGTGAATCCATAAGGTTTCATAACCTTAATATCCATCCGTAGGGGGGATGTGGACAAAATCTCAAGCTGGAATGACCCGTCTTGTTTACCGTCCCCGATATCTACGAGGCGCGGAATGTAAATTTATTATTTTGTGTGTACAAGAAGAAAACGTGCTAATAATTCAAAATTACGTACGTATTGGAGGCCGTGGCGTGTGACGCGTGAATTAAAAATGATGTGCGTCTTAAAATGACGTGTGTGTTTTACAATTATGTGTATTTAAAAAAAAACGTGTGTGTTTAAAAGGACATGTGTATTTTAAAAATAATGTGTGTTTAAAAACATAACGTGTGTGTAAAAACGATGCGTGTGTTTAAAAACGTGTGTGTTTTTAAAAATGGCGTGTGTTTAAAAACGACGTGCGTGTTAAAAAAAATGACGTGTGTGTTTTTAAAAATGGCGTGTGTTTAAAAATGACGTGTGTGTTTAAAAATGACGTGTGTTTTTAAAAATGACGTGTGTGTTTTTAAAAATGACGTGTGTGTTAAAAACGACGTGTGTATTAAAACATTACGTGTGTGTTTTTAAAAATGGCTTGTGTGAGGTCGAATGAAAATTTCGTGTGTGTAAAAAGGAAAAAACGCGTGCATTAACTTATTTACGCCTGTGGGGGCGCTGTTTTGAATAATTTTTGTTTTCGTGTGTGTGTGCAAAAAAACGCGTGCGTTAACCTTTTTACGCCTGTGGGGGCGCTATTTGAGAGATTTATTTCGTTTGTGTGTTAAAAAAAATCGCGTGCATTAACCTATTCACGCCCGTGCAGGCGTCGTCTCAAGTGGTAGCTATTTTCGTTTGTGGATTTCGTTTGCCAGGAGATCCTCGGCAAAAAAAACGAAAATTTGCGAAAATCGGCAACACGCAGTTCGATCGAACTGCGGCAGGGAATAGAACGGCAAATGAAAACATGCAACGGAAATAAATGAACAATATGCAACACTAGAAGTAGAACAAAAATAATGTATTGCTTATAATGTGACAAAACACCAGAAATAATAAAAATCGACAGTGAGGAATCATTTGAATTAGGATTTTACCGCCGACAAACACGCGTGAACTCAAAATTAATTAAAATGTCAGGGGTTAAACTGCGTAAAATGATTTTCGGTCTCGACAAATTACGCATCAACCATCATACAAGATCAATAATAATTTACAAATTTACGCAGTAAAAATTAAAAAAATTCATAGCTGTTTGAAAAAAACTT